CTCCACTGAAAGTTCTTCACTGTCATCTCTCTCCAGTTGCGCCGTTGCGTCTGTTTTTGACTTGCCTTTCGGTGGAGGCGGATGAGAGAGGCAGCCCAGAGTAGTAGAGCACAGAACAAGACTCTCGTTGACAACACTGTACGGCGAAGAAGACTTTAACACAACTGAGGAATCGTCAGCAACGTCCAAGTTGGTGAGTGACCATCTGCCGTGACCCCACATTGGACTAGTTGTAGGGTCGGAACGTAGAAGGGTTCTGGGAGAGACCAGGTTCTGAACAGAGCCCAGAACCAACGGCTTCATGTTCACACTCACTGCCGTTGTCTCTGAACGTGGAGTTACTTTACAAGTGAGTGTATTGTCCTTTATATTTTGGTGATGGTTTCCTTCACTGTCGTCTGGATTTTCCACTCTCACTACTGTTGGTGTCTACGGGAAATTCAAAGATAAGAGACAAAATCAGGGTTTTCTACTGAATTAGTCGTTCGTTTGTTCCTTCGTTTGTTTGTTTGTTTATACACAGACAGATAAGCAAGAATTGTGAGGGTTATAATTTAAACTTTTGTATATTTTTATTAATGCTAATGATTGTTATAAAATACGAAAATAATTTAAAAACAATAGAATAAAATCATCTTGGCATCAGCTTCAGTCGTGGAAGGCTGTGGTCTGGACGGGACTCACTGGACCGTGGCCACTCACCCTCTCTAGGCTCTTTGTGATCTTCATCACACATCCATCCCTCATCATCTTCGCAGCGAGCTTCGCTGTGTTTCGAGCATCATCCAAACCTAAATATGAAAAATAAAAACATTAATTTGTTTTATTAGGTTTTGAAATAATTTCATCTCTAAACATTTTTGTACCTGAATGTTCTCTTCCTGAAAACTGTATTCCTACATCCTGCAGCGCCCCATTCAGGCCTCTAGGTTTTCTGTTATAAAAAAGCTGGGGAAAAAGGTAAATAGTTCAATATATACAAAAATCAGAGAAAATTATTTGAAAGAAACATGTATGGTTCAGTCAAGATCGTAGAAAAGACACCGACTCTGTACGTTCTCCTCAGGTCGATCCAGCTGCTGAGCACCGCAGGTTTATGGAGCTGCTTACGTCTGCACTCGTACTGGAGACAAACTCCCAGATCCCAGTCTGACATGGAAGACAAGAGTCGAGACGAGTCGAGAAGAGTCGAGACGTCACAGGTAAAAACTATATTTATCCTTTAACACGACACTTGTTTTAATAAATACAGTTTTAGTTAAAGTGAAGATGTCTGCTAAAGACCCAGAGGGACAGAGACACAGAAGGATAGAGACACTTGTCCATTTTACCTGACCATGTGAGGAAGGCACACAGGTTCTGGGAGGCTGACGGTGTAGAACACTTCTGCTGCTGCATGCTGGGAAACACCACCCCCATCTGAAGCTGCAGGTTCTGCAGCCATCGGCTGAATCGAGACAAACAGATGTGGAGCGGGACCCCGGCCTCAACTTGGCCCTGGAACAGGAAGAGAAGTTTTACAAAGACAACATTTAATGTTATAAAACTCAGAGTTGTTAATACTAGTGTTGTGTGTTTGTCCATTAACATTGTACAGAGGCCATGAGGTCCATATAAGGCCATGAGGTCCATATAAGGCCATGAGGTCCATATAAGGCCATGAGGTCCATATAAGGACTGCGGGCAGACCATCCAAGATTCCTGTTCTGAGTCCATGGAACTTTCATGAAAGAGAGTTTAAATCTAAAATGAACCAATGAAAATCAGACATTGTGTTTTGAATTGTGGTTCAACTGATTCATTTTTTAAACACCATGTCCCCAAACAGCACAGTGTTGACCACTGGTCACCTAGTAGACTGACACTAACCAGAGGACACACCTGTTCCTGTGGTCAAATATTTTCATTGTACCCCGTTTCATTGGTTTGTTTTATAAAATGATTGTGTTGATCCACAACGTTTGTTTCAGTTTCTAGTGATTTCAGTGATTCCACTGACCATCGTTGGTTTTCTTTCCACCATCAGTCCACATGTGTATGAATAGATATATTTGCCTGTGCATCTGCTGACCTCAGGGGTCACACCGGTGGATCATCTTCCTCCGTCTCACCCCCTCCTGTTTCTCTTCTACCAATGTCTCTGTCCACTGTCTCTAACTTTGTCCACTGTCCTCCCCTCCATCCCGCTCCCATCAGCAGCTTGATCCAACCCTCAGCCATTCTCACCTGTGAAATCCCCGTCAGCTCGGTGCAGAATGCAGATAAAGCAGGATGTTCCTGGGGTTGAACATATGTGTGGAATTCAGATTCAGTTTGTCCAGAGGAAGTATTGAGCAACACGGCAGGAAACTCAACTGAAGGAAGGTGAAAAGTTAAACGTCACCTACAGGATATTGAAAATGAAGCGTCAACACGTGATTCCCAGTACAATCAATATTAAGTTTCTCATACTGATTTCCTGGCTGTAGTTGTTTTTATCTTTCCAACAGGTTGATTCGAAGTCGATCACGATTAGGTATGAAAATATCTGATCTGAAAGAGAGCAGAGATATTACTGCAAAGTCTCAACCTTATCTACCTTAATGATCCGTATCGATTCAAATGGATCACTTACTTGACAATAACACATTGTTTGAAGCAGATGAAGACTGACTTCGCTGCCTCAACAAGCCGAGCTCTCTGCGAACAAAACAGTTGTAGTAAGTATTTATTATACGACTTTAAGGTAAAAGAAAACCGACAGGACAGACTCTGGATTTATAATAAACAGGAGGTGGTTTCCATTTTAGTCCATTTAAATCCAATAATAACGTAAATATCGTAAACACAAGCAAAATCAAATCCTTTGCCCTCAAAGTTTTATACTAACCCGCTTTGCTACAGGCAAACGAGAGTCTTACAAAACCGTGGCATATAATTCCCTTACTTGGCTAGTTTCTTTGTCGACATCTTTATTCGGTCGATATAGTTTCGAGGCACCGAAGATTTAATTTAAATGACAGAAGGCACCGCAGACAAAGAAAGTCGCACCGCATTTTCAAACAGACACTTCCACCACTCTGAGCTCGAATAGTTGTATCTGGAAAGAACAACCAATGGAAGGAAAGGTAGCCAATCACAGAAAACATCGATCACATCCGTTTTAAACGCAAACTATCAAAATAAAAACATCAATTACTACAAATCCGACCGACTGTAGCACATATAAGATGTTGTGGTGATTTTATTTGATGTCTGAATCTACATTTATACACTAAAATAACCACGTTTACTTATATTACTACAAACACATCCACTGCGGAGTGTAAATGTTTTAATCGTGGAATTTATTTTGAAATTACCAATCGGCTGTTCTACGTATGCATTTAAACTTTACATACAGTAGTGAACATGCTCTAGCCATGTTTTAACATGTGATTTGGTTGAAAACTGAAGTCGGTGGACCACAGCTGCTGGTATTTACTTATTTCTTTACCGTCGTGTTTATTCTTAGTCGTATTTTGACCACATAATTTCAAAATGTAACGTGTAGTTAACACTGTCTTTGGACGATTTAAAAAAAGAACCATGCTGAGTGGGCAGAGGCGACTGATCGAACAAACATGCTCTTTTTTCTTTCCTTTTTTAGTTAATATTAACGTTAATTCCATGTTGTTGTTGTTGTTATTTTTATCTAAGTTGAGGCAGCGACGTAACTTATTATTACACAGTAGTTAATAGTTGTATTCCTGATACCTCTGCTGAGTATCGTGTAGTACATGTATCAGTCAGATGCCATACAAACGAGCCCTCATTAACAACGTGGAACTTTCTGCTCATAGATGACTTTAAACTGTATGTTTGACCTACAACCAACCAGTTTTTATTACTTTACATTTTCAGGTATCGACTCGACAGCGCTCTCCGTCCTGAAAATGGAACCATCGCCAAATGCTCCGAGCTCCGGGAGGAAAAGAAAGAACCTTTCTTCTACAGGTCTCGGAAAAAGCAAAAGGTTAAAAACAGAGAAACAGGAAGTTGAGGCTGTCGAGTGTGAGCGTCCGAGCTCGTCACCGAAGGTCTCTGTGTTGTTCGATTGCCTCAAACAACCAATTACATTGAAAGAGCTGACGTCACTGCTGCATTATGTTGCCCTGGGCAAAGGTGGAGGAATCAAAAAGCCCAGGTGAAGATGACTTTAGCTGCACGATGTTTAACCGACTTGTGTTTTACACTGAATCTATTGTAACAACTGAGGAGACGTCCTCCTGTCTGTCCCCCAGTTGGTGTGGTGTCCAGCAGAGGAGGAGAATATCAGGTGTGAATGTTGTCGTTGTGGAGGGTCTGACCCAGAGTCACTTTTACAAACACTACGTAACCCTGAAACACCTGAGGACAAACTACACTTCTGTGAGTAACTAATGGGAACGCGGGGGGGGAGGTTCTAAGAGGTGGGTAAGAGGCTCCATGTTGACATCTGTCCTACTTGGACTCCCACAGAGAATCACCTTCATGCCGTCATCACAAAACATTGCTTCAGAAGTGTTCAGCAGTGAAGTTCCCAGATGTGAAGATCCATCGGTTCTTCAGAACCCTGGTAAGAACCAGCTGTGTCCTGGTGATGAAGTGACGTTTGACTCCACTGATGAAGACCATGTTGGGCTTTTCCTGATTTTTCTACTTTTGTCACTTTGTGTTCCGCTGCAGCTTTGAGGAGTCATCCGGTCATAATGAAATTTGGCAGTGAGAGGAGAGGACTCACAGCCTACGTCCTCACACAGGAGGACATGATCAAGTATCACTATCCAGTCAAAGGTCCACATGTTTCAGTCAAATATCTTCAATACATTTAGAACCTTCTCAGTTCTTTGTTTGGA